AAATGCAAGTAGAAAAATAGGGACTACTTTTGTGGGAAGATAACTGTGTTCTGTGCGCCTTTGGTGTTTAATCATGCTGGCCACATGACCATGGAGACGTCTTCAGATAGTGCTGGCTCTTAGGCTTTGAAATAAGAGATGAGCACTGCCCCCTAGAGTTGGGAACAATTAGCACATATGTGGGAGGGGAACCTTTACCTTCATATACATACATACATACATACATACATACATACATACATGCATGCATACAATGCATATATAAATGTCACAGGGTTCATATAGTTCAAATAACTGGTCAACGCACCCTGAGCTATAGCAGTACTTGGTTTTTAAAATTAAGTATGTTCATTAATCTTTCTGTTCATCCTCCCAAGAGAGTTCTTTTAGATTCTCCTCTTCTCACCCCTGTTGAATTGCACACAATTCTTTAGCTATTTGTTTTAAAGAGAGCATAATCTCCTTTTGGAGATTTTTTGTTTTGAATCATGACATCCTGAAGCATTCTATCCTGGAAGTTGCTACAGGAATTGCTGACTTTCCTGCCTAAATAGGTTGGAGAGATTAGACATCTGGGAAACAGCTGGATCATCAGAGGAATATCCTTTTTGAAAAAGAAACCCGAGGAAAAGCTTCCTCCGTAACTCGATAGAAAAAGCTTTCCAAACACTAGGTATGACTAAGATATTTATATTGTATTACACTTGTAATAGCAATATGCAGACACTTTATTGTTGCTATCATTTGGATCATTGGAATCATTTGGAAAGTCCATGAATACTCTGCTGTTTAAGGAACAAACATAATGGCATCTATTCCATTTAACTAAGGTAAGGTTAAATTTACAAATCGGCTGCTGGAATTAATATATGTCATAAAAATAAGCTGTCTATAAAAGGCAAGAACGGGAACTGTGACTAAATTCTGAAAAATGCAGTACAGGACCCGGCAAATGCTTGGTATGTGGATGTTCTACATATCAGATATTAGAAGAGTATAATGGAAATTTGGTATTACAAAGTAAAATGCATGTACAGTATGTAATATATGTGGCCAGGTCTAAAAGAGTAATTTCTTCCTGCTTTCTGAATATAGTTGGGAGTTTATTTTGCTTTTAAAAACAGTGCTAAGTCTATTTGACTAAGGTTACCAGCTATCCAGCAAAAGGAGGACATGTCCTCCTTGTTAACCTGATGCCCTCCATCCAGAAGGCATAGCCTTAAAATCAAATATTGTCAGTTCTTTGGAGTATCTGCAAGCATTTTTTTTTCCTGAGCAGCTTTTGCTATGCTAGTAAGTGCTAATTGCAAGATAATAGCTTCCCACTTATGCTGTGATCAGTAATACAGTGAAGATTTTACTTCTTTTCTGATAAGCTTTAGTAAACTCTTGCCGCTACCCCCCACCCCCCAGTTTTTCTGAAAAAGTATTTTTGTATATACATAGGCCTTTTTTCTTTCTTTGCAGTTTTTCACTTTCATTTTTGTTGTGGCTGTCAAGAAAATTAAACTGTATGCCTTCCCCCTGTTTCCCTCAAAAACACTTATACTTCTTTCTTATTGTTTATGTCCTCCTTCACTGGCTCAGATATATAGTATCATATATTTTGGGACATGGTTGAAATTCATAAAAAATTAGGACACACCAATTGCTGACTTTGGTATACTCAGTAGAAAGAGTAATGATACAGGTAGTTAGAGGCGAGATGTAGAATGCAATGAAGCAGGGTAATATTAAGAGAAGGGCAGCGTAGAAACAAAAATGTATATGGGGAAAGCTTATGTCCTACAAAAATCAAGAGCATAAAAAATCAACACTGGCCTTTGAAAGGCTAAGTACAACATGAAATAAAGTAGCCTCGTCCTCCGCCTCCAATCTAGTAATCCTAAGAGATTAATGAATGTTAATTGGGGAAAGATTTAAGATTTACAAGTAATCTTAGTTAAACCACTTCCTGGTGGTGGTTTGCAGTTATGACACTGATGAAAATATAAGTTTGGAACCCATCCTTGTATTTATAATTAAAAAGCAAAGGAAATCTGAAGTAAAATTAAGTATAACTGCAGTTTTATTTAGCAACTGCTTTCCTTGAGTTGCGGTGGCGCAGTGGTTAAAGTGCAGTACTGCGGGCTACTTCTGCTGATCACTGGCTGCCAGCAGTTTGGCAGATCAAATGTCACCAGGNCAGGAAAAGAAATTTTAAGAGGATTGTTCAACAAGCTATGTAATTAATGACATTCCTTCTCTCCCTCTTTACACAATATTTTATAGTGAAGAATGAAGTTGTGTCCTCCTTTTGATCTTGCTGTCCTAAACAAAAATATTATGAAGTTTCACAGAGCTTTATTCTGGAATTTATTTTTAGTGCCAAAACCAACTCCTGGAGCTGGCCAAGAACTAATTATAAGGATGCTCTTGAAGATATTCAGGGTGACTTTATGGTACCAGGTAACCAAAATCAACCCAGAGAGATCTAATATCAGCACACAGAGAATGTGTATTTTATTAGTAGGAAATATTTTTCTATTATCTAAAAGCTTAATTATACAGGATAACAATAGTCTTCAAAGGTGTTCCCATGTTTCAAGCTTCTCTTCCCATAATTTCAAGCAGAAAAGGACTGGTTTTGTGAGTCATACTAAGTCACAACATGATTGCTTGTTTGTGACTTAACATGTTGCATGAACTGGCTTTTATGGGTTGTAAGCTGTGATTTATGGCTTAATGCAAAGATATCTAACTTTGGGGGCTGATGAACACATCTGGAATTTTAGGAGCATGCTGCAGGCAATCTTTTAAGCAAGCTACTCGGTGTGTGGGGGGGGGGTTGAACGGTCTCCATGGGGAGTTTTAATCTGCTACAAAACAAGCCAGACCACCACACAGTTGTGCTACAGTGAGGACACATGGAGAAAATGCTGCCTTCCAACAATTTTAGAATTGCCTTCCCTATCCCCAGATGCAGGATGCTCTAGTTTTCATCAGGAAGTTGGCTTACTTTCTAATGAAGAACTGATTTGAAACCACCTCTAAATTAGATTATGGGGGCTATTTGGGACCAGAGACATTCGTGGAAATAAACAATACTGGTATCTAGCATTTACAGCACCCCAGTGTCCCATTAAAAAAAAAAACACCCAAGAATTGCGGTGGGGTAAGTCATTAGGCAGGGTAAAGCAGATGTCTGCAGGTAATTGGTATTGCTAAATGAATTGTATAAATGTGATTTAATGACTAAACATTAGTTAAACAGATACCACATTGCTTAACATGATATCTGAACTTAGCTCAAAAGTGACCAGCTGATAATCCTACTTTCCCATATCTGATGCCCTTCAGAGGTGATGCAATAACCATTTCCAAAATTTTCAGCCAATACAATCAATGGAAGGGACATACCTGATAAAGATTGACTACAATTGTAGACAATGATGGTCTTGGGCTTACAAAGAAAAAAAAATGGAAGCACTACTGAGAGTGCTATTTATCTAATCTATTTTCTCCACGAGTTCTCAATCTATGAGGTGAGAGACAAACCCAAGTAAATATTTCTTTAGCGTCTATCCTAGGTATCTTTAGATATTGTGGCAATGTGGCATACACATGCTAAAACTGTCTATCCCCCCCTCCCTCGCCTGGAATGCCTATACAGTAGAGGGAACCTGTGCATCTTTCTCCAAGGAATGTGGAGAAGTTCCAGACACATTTTTGAGCATATTCCAAAACCTCACATTTTGGGGTGTGACTTTCTGCTCAAACAAGGAAATGCAAAAGGGTGAGAGAAGTGTATATCTACTTTCCCTTGTTTCTAGAGAACCATGAAAGAAATGCATTTGCTATAAAAGCAGGTAATGGACCTCAACCTAAGTTTGTGAAAAGGAAGTTTAGACGATTCAGGAAATATGCAGCGCACTCATTAAACTGGAACTTCCAAAGTCAAAGGCAGTGTAGCTCCGCTTTCTATTGCTGAAGGGAACAGAGGACGACCTCACCTTGGTGGGTTGGCCGAGAAGCAGAGCGCTGGATGAGTTGTGCTTTGTATATCACATGCTGCAATGTAACAAAAGAGTTTGGGAGAAACCTATTGGGGAAGTGCCCTCACTCATAACTTACTAAAGCAACAGGGGAAGCATGGTGGGAGGGCTGCTGCTCCTGTTGCTGTTTTCCATTCCTAGCACAGGTTTCAGTCTTTGCAGCTGCGGCAGGCTTTTTGTGCTTCCTTCCTCAGGGCAAATAAGGTCTTTTCTCGGCTCTGGGGCAAGCTGCCTCAGTTATGTGGCTGCTGTGCTGTTCCTTCTCTGCTTCTCCCTAGAGCAGGGAGGTGTGGCCAGAGAGTGGTATAAAGTCCAAAGAATGAGCTTCTCCCCCCTTCAGTACAGAGTCCCCCTCGCTGGAGATCAGGCAGTCTGCTCTGGCAGCAAGGCTATTCTTTGCAGCCTTTGCTTCTTGGCCCTTCATTCTCCAGGACCGCAGCCTGCTTATCATGCCCTCCCATGGGGTGTCTGTTGCCCTGCTGCTTCTAGCCCAGGTGGGCTTTTCTGTGAGCCTTGAGGCTATTCAGTGCCCTCCATGCTCTGAGGAGAAGCTGGCACGCTGCAGGACACCCTCTGGATGTGAGGAGCTGGTGCAGGAACCAGGCTGTGGATGTTGTGCCACATGTGCCTTAACAAAGGGGATGCTCTGTGGGGTATACACATCTCGCTGTGGTTCAGGGCTGCGGTGTTACCCACCACGGGGAATGGAAAAACCCTTGCACACACTCATGCATGGCCAAGGTGTTTGCATGGACCTGTCTGAAGTCGAGGCGATCCAAGAGAGCATGCAGTCAACAGGTAAGGTGCCATCAGGTTATTGGACCCTTAAGGCTGGAGGACATCATCATCTGTGGCATGCATTGTTTTTTTTGGAATGGTTTACAGAGCTATTCCTTGGTGGGAGGAAAGATTGATTTGGAGTACTTTAGATGAGGGGCCAATGATTTGAGCACACAGGATTTAAGTTGCTGGTGCTGCCCACATCTACATCTCCTGACCAATTGGAAGGAAATTGGCATCAAATTTGCATTCACTATGTTTGGTTCAGACAGGATTAAATGCCCTGTAAACTCTTTGGGAAATTCAGCAGAACTGTGTGTTGTATTTATGGCTAGCTGTATGTTAATTTGGTTGATAGTACAATGGCATGTTCTTAGTGGTTATCCTAAAATGACTAGTTTCAAAGAGCAAAGGGCTGGCAAAGAACATCACTGGAGGGAGTGAGGATTTTGGTGTAATTATTTACTGATAGTAGGAAGGCAACATTGCTAGCAAGGCAGTTATTATTACTGTTAATGATGTGACATACAGCAGGGTTGTAACAAGAGGAAAATCTGCAGAGAAATGACCCTGTGTGAATACGATCTCACCTTGCCCAATTCCTGGCCAGGAAGGAAGCCAAACACTTAGTGATACTCCAAGGAGAAATATCTTTCCTACCTGATTGCCTGGCTTCAATTGCTGAATAGGATTAAAAGGTGACCCATTTTTAAATAATTACTTCAATCTAAAAACAACAATAACCCTCTCTCCCCACATTCTACCCCCACTCCACCCCCCACATTTTACTCATATCACCAGAAGGTTTCTGTTAGCAAAAAGAGAACTGGAAATTGAGGAAAATAGGGTTCATATGCTGAATTAAAAAAAAAAAGCTACAGAGAGTTTCTCCTGGATATGCCCACATTGTGATTTCAAGTTTTTGTATTACTTGTCTTGAAGTGGGAAATGATACAAGCAGGAGAAAAAAGAGAGAGAGGGAGGGAGATAAATTTGTCCCCTGCTTGTTGCACTGGAGAAATTGTTGAAAGCCACACGTATCTAACACACACACACACACACACACACACACACGTATATAAGGTTTCTTTCTTTCTTTCTTTCTATCTATCTATCTATCTATCTATCTATCTATCTATCTATCATCTATCTATCTATCTATCTATCTATCTATCTATCTATCTATCTATCTATCTATCTATCTATCTA